TTCTTCGCGGAGTAATCAGCAAATCGCCGAGCGATGCTGGCAAACGGCAGGCGGCAGGACGAGGGGAGGGAAGACGTCGAATAACTCGATTACTCGTCGGAGGAGTGTCACTTTGCCAGCCCGTGCATCCAAGTGCGAGCGAAATTTCGTTAAGGCGCTCCTCTCGTAACCGCCTCCACCGTCGCTTATCCGCCGCTTTCCTCGTGACGTCTTTTTCCGAAATATTCGACAGTATGTCCTCGCGATGATGCTGCGACGGGAAGAAAAGTGTCGCGGCACGTAGCTGCGAGAAACGAACATTGAACGAAGGTGTTGCTCCCGTAACATATCCCGATTTCAGTTGTCTAACGTATTTCGGATATTAACAGACAGTAACTGTGATAAAATGAAAGTGGTCTTTGTCTTCGTTAATGTCGCGTATATCGACTTCAACGTGTCTAACTTTGAATACTAGCAGATAGTAGCCGTGATAAAACGGCCATAATATTATACAAGAAGGATCGACCCACAAAATTATGATTTTTAAGATTTTGTTACCAATGGGCAGTTTATACATCGTTCTATACAAAACAAAAAGTTCCAAGTTTTATATCTGCAGATATATATAGTCAGATATCATTCAAAAGAGTTATTAATTATGCATGACGATAAAAAATTAAAAGGTTAAAAGTTTATATATTAAAATATATTGGACACCTTGTGTATATCGATAACGAAAACGCTGATGGTAGTTAAAGAGAGAAAGGTTCCTGGATGTCGGGATGATAAACGCGCGATTTTGGTGCCGATTAATTTTGGGCGTAACTCGATAAAATCGAACAATATTAGTTGAAAGCTTCCCACTTCCGAATAAGCCTCGAGACTCGATCGAACAATTGGGTTAAGTAAGTCAGATAGCCAGGGGCCTCCGCCTCTACGTATAGTTAAGTATAGTTAGCGCCGGCCGTACATTTCTGTGAATTACTCGGTCTCAGAAGCGGGCGGAAGAGTCGTTAATATCAAGCAACCGCTTGAATTAAGAAATTTTTAGCGGGGAAATATAATCTCCCGTCGCACCGCCGCCAACTTTCTATTGTATTAGTAATCCTGTTAATATCATCTGTGGAACGGGCAGCTGTGACATGTTATCGCGATATCGATATCGGAAGAGCCGAAAACACATCGATTGCATTAATTATATTATTAGCGACAAAATAAAGAATATAAGATGCGTGAAATAAAACATGACCTGAAAATCTATTCCATCGGTTTCGATATTGCGTTAGAATGTCACAGCCCCTACACTGCGTGTATTATTAATAGGATTATTTATTGATGTCAATTGCACCAATTCCCTCAGAGAGATCGCGTTTTATCAAAGATTGAAGCATTTCAGGAACCAAAATAATCGTATAAATCACGTATAACTTTCCGGTCACAAGGGTATCCTCGGCAACGTCAATACAAATTTTCGAACTTATCGATTTTACGACATGTTTATAACGTTCTGAAATATTCTCGCATACATGTAACTTTCTATCCTCAGATGAATAAAAAACCATATATTTTTTATCGAAATTCGCTACATCTTTTACATTTATTTTTCCTTTCCTGTTCTGTTTTTCACTACGTTCAAAGTAACGGACTTTCCTTGCTTTATTTTCTATGCTTTCCTTTTCACGGAAAAATGCAGCTGAACAGAACAGACCTATTAAATAGCGTATCAAATATATCCCGCTGAATCGCGCGCGCGTGCTCCATCGTACGAAATATAAAAATCGGAGCGTCGGAGGCAGGAATAGGATTCCGTATAGCCATACTGCGTCCTAGATGCATCTAGGAAAAATATTGCGGCGGCTTATCAGGTTTCGCGAGGCAGGCAGCCTCCAAGTTCGCCCGCGATGTTTCGTGCTATGCGGTTTCGGCTGCGATTTCCGAAGCGTCCGCGGAAACTACGGACGCGGGAGCTACGAGCTCTACTCCAATCAGATACCGTCTAGGTCGGGCTGGCATCAACGGCCAATCGCATTTACTGGATTGCCGCTCGCGATTTTTGGCATAAAGGTTCGCGCGTGCTTATTTCGTTTATTTCCGTGAGAGTAGCGGCCGCGCTAAAACGAAGGCACTCCGACGACGGTAAGTCCGCTTTTTAACGGCCTCGCCTTTGCTCGATGCACGATACATCGCGATATTGGAAACGGCGAAAAATTCCTCCCGTAATTTAATGAGGCACTGAGACTGCGAGATTCGCGATTCATACGAGTATTACGATACATGAGATTGTGCGGTGTGCTTATCAAGCAGTTATTGAAAGCATCGTGGCACATATAAACGATAAATGTGATACTTTTATTAGCAATATTGCTCGACTTTGGATGCCAAAAATTATATGAAATGATTGGAAGATGTTTTCAGATGCGAAATTTCATTTGTCAGGTACTTTTTGTGCCAAAGAAATATACTTAAATTTAGATGTGTTAATCATCGCGAACCTACACGCACAGAATGTATTCACTGCAAGGAGGAAGATAATTTGCTAGAACAGCAAATTTTACGCTGTTGCAGCAAAATCTGTCAGTTATTATGTGGACAGCGAAACGATTTGTTAAGAGTACTAATTGTTACATTCGCAGGATTATTTCGCTGAATCTACAAATTATTTTGCTGTAAGGACAAATTAGCAAATGCAGGAAAACACTATTTTGTCCTAAGAGCAAATTAACTTGTCTAAAGGATAAATTCACTAAGTAGCATTTTTTATCTTAGCAACAAAACTGTTTCTGTTTTAATTACGAATAATTTGCTAACTTGGTTATGCCAATTAAATTTTGTTGCTATCGCAACGAATATGCAGCAGCAACGAGATGTACTTTCGCTATAATAGCAAAATTATTTTTCTTCGTGTAATAAAAATTATGCGTACGTGTGTGTCAATATCAAGTGATGTTTGCATTAAAGACATCCATGTAACGGCAAAAGTTCAATCTATATATAATAATAAAATGTAGTTGGGATTATATACACCGATTAAAAATGGCAGAGGATTAGACCTCCATGTGTCCAGCGTAACGAAAAGTTAATACCAGCGCTACCTATCGTGGAAATATAACGAATACGAATGATCGACTGTCATGTGGTTGGTAACGACGATAACGTCGGTACTGTCGGTAACGACGGTAACGTTAATTCCTGCTTTGACGATAACAGCATCATAAAAGTACAGGTTAATATTAGAAATAACATTTACTTATAAAGACACATCTAAATAATTATTAAAAACGAAAGAATTACAAATGAAATATTAATTATTCTATTTGCAAACATAAGTGGTAAAATAATGTTTAAAATCTGGACCTGAGACATCTTTCAGAAGTCTTATGTCTCAATTTTAGGCGTTATATTATCTGAGAAAATGTGAGAAAGTTAGACTTTGTTAGAAGATGCCACTCAGCTATGAAGTCGTGAAGTATCCAAATCCGTAATCCACATAGGTAACGCAAAGGTAATCCATTTTGCACTTTCACACTTTAACACTCGCGACTTTACCGTTTTTCGCACGCTCTCTACAAGAAACATGCACCATGCATTTCTGTCATTGTACGTATATAGTTTTTTAAAAAAATCTCGCATTTTTCTTATAAAGCTATATTTTATTTCCACATCCCAGTAAGAAATGTACATCGAATTGATGTCAAATTAATGTCGAAACAATCGGATTTTCATCAAATCGATTTGTTGAGTCATTTTTCGTTCAGAAATGACATCAATCCATAAAAATATGAATGACGGGATTGTTTCGAAATATCAAACACACGTGATCATTTGTATTATTTATCTATCATACTGTGCGAATTATAACTACGCGACCGTTACTGTCGATAAACAGCCATATTGTGCAGTCGCTCTGCAGGTTCAAATATGCAACGGTGGACATGGCGCAAATTTCTTGAAATATCGAACTCCTACATCGTCGACGATCACGTGCCGAGTACTTTATTCACTGTCTACACATTTATGGCTACCAGTGAAACATATTTCTTTCGTGCGAACAATTTAATTCCGCGACGACTCGAGCACTACGTGTTGATCGCCCGCCGATTACGAAGGCACTAACGGAGTCAAGTGATCGTCTCGATCTTAACAAAATCGCGGTAAAAATCTACGACTTATTCGGAAGCTTCACGGAGATCAACAACATTGCAAGCCGATTGTATGATCCTCGATCGTTAATTTTTCGACATGTTTTCTTCTACACAACGAGGTATTTATTGCTAAATAACAATGATCTTACGGAAACTCGCTTGACTTGCGAAGTTCATTATACTTTAACGCTTTCTTAACAAGCACTGAAAATTGCTGAAATTCTGATATACAGATCTTAAACTCTACTTAAATCATTGCCCAAACGATTTCAGCCTGCGAACAAGGCACACGATCCGAAATATCAAACGTCCCCGATCATTTCTTTCGTATTAATCATTTTATCGTGTATCATCGAGAGTATGTTTATACCTTCAATACGACGCCATTATGCTCAGCCTTTTGTAACGACCAAAGTTTGCGAAAATCCGTATGCCGCAAGTTTTCGAAATATCGGACGTGTTCCTCATTAATGATTACGTATAAAGTTTTTCGGCTGTTATACTCACAAGTATACAATTACGACTTGTGTCAAAATCTACATTACTCCAGCCAGCGATTTGAGTCCGTCGGAAACCGAAGTGCTAATTGCTCGCCGGTTTAGCAAACACTACCAGGGTCAACTGATGCCCTTGGTGTCGGTGTACACTTTCGTTCAGTCACGATAAAATTCCGAGGAATTCTCGAAAAATTTATGCGGATAAACCACACTGCTGATAATTATGATTGCTTTTACGTAATTGTTTCGACGTATTTTTTATATACTAAAGAGATATTTCCTTTAAAATGTGAAATATTACGGGAAGGTGTAGTTAAAAGGTGCAAGTTGGGAACTGTTCTTTTTTATCAGCACTTAGTACACGCTCGTGAGATTTATTCCTTTCTTTCTTCCTCTAATATTGATGTATTTATTTAATTGTTTAATATAAATATATGGTATATAATGTAACATGTATAAGAGAAACAAACTTCTAATAATTTCGTTTAACTTTATCATGCTGAATGGCATTATTTAAACTAAATAATCTCGACGTTGGCTGTACCTGTGTACGTTTTGATTCGCTTCTCTGAATAATTCACAATGATTATTAAATTAGCGTGTTCGTTAATGAATATTATTCCATATTTTATAGCGATATACAGCATCGAATGTGACATGAATCGTTGACAAATATGCAGTTTCACTGTGAAGACGGCTTAGAATTATTATCAAGATTCAGGGAGAAACAGTCTTCGATTAACCTCGACGAAGTTTTATTTCCCACCGGCGTCAGCAACGACAAACTCATCGAAATTATTGGAGCATCTTCTACTGGAAAAACTCTGCTGTTATGTCAGTTTTTAGCAAAATGTATATTGCCCGCGCAATGTAAGGGAATCAAAATCAATGGATGCAACATCTGTGCAATAATAATCGATACTCTTGGTCAAATCCAAATCAGTAAAATAGCTGAATTCATGACTTCTATGATACACAATGCTTATCAAAATATCAGTATAACACCACCGGTAGAAACGGTGGACTCTATTGTGAATAGGTCTCTGAATAATTTGACAGTAATCAGATGTTGCAGTAACGATCAATTCCAAATAATTCTAAATATGCTGAAAAATGAGCTTCTTGATAATGAAAAGACTGCTCTCTTAGCTATAGATAATATATTTGCTTATTATTGGCAAGAGAGATGGAAAAAGGGTATTCTCAGTATGGATTCCTATGTAAAAAGTTTGGTCAAACATATACGAACACACACATCTCAATTTAGAATCGTAACAGTGTATACACGATGGGATAGACCTATGTCTAAGAATGAACCAGATACAAAGGATTATCATATATTAGAAGGGATGGGTGTTAATTACAAACTGCAGCTTTATAGAAATAGAGAATCTAACAAGTTTATATGTCATTTAAAGTCTATGGAACATGCAAAAAAAATACATTATACAATTTGTAATTCTGGTATAAAATGGACTTTGTGATAGCACATAATGAAATAATAATTTCTATCAATAATCAATTGAGGATAGGAGAACTTTGTCCACCACGTCTAATGGGTTTAACAATCTCGAACCAGCTATTGTTATCTGGCAATTTGGTTTGAATATCGATATAACCTCCTTGACTTCTCTTACTTCCTCTGGTGTTACACCCCCAACGACATAGACAATAATCCAATTATTGTCACAGGGATGGCGTTTCATTCGGCCCTTGGAGAACAAACTGCCAGAAATATTTAATAATATCAAGTCAATTAGCTTTCTCCAAATTTCTTCAAAGATTTAGAATAGCTTACTTAGTATTGCAAACAAACAAACAATTATTGAGTTTAGCTTACTTGAATCCAGCAGAAATAAATGAGGGTGATCTCTGATGTAAATCAGGAAGCTCGTATCTCTCTGGATGCAGCACATCCCTTAGTAATTGTTGTAAGATACTCACGCGTTGAACGATCTCTTGAGAGCTCGACTTCGACATTAAGGAGCTGTGAGAAATACAAATGAATTATTTTATCTTCTAATCATGAAAATATAAGATACAATTAAAAATGTTAAACGTAATAACTGCGAACATTTGATATTAGCTAATTTATCGTCTGTATACTCTTGAATTTTTCATATAAAATTGAAAAATACAATAGTTTTCATACGTGTAATTATGTAAAAATGCGCGTTGTTGTGCTATCTCATGTAGAATGTTCATAATGCTTTCTGCCACCTTTGCGGAGATCTCTTTCATGGCTTCGGCATCAGCAACACCTAATTTACATATATTCATATACTATACATATATTTAGATATATTCATATACTTTACGTTAGATATATTCATATACTATACATTCACCCGTTATATGTAAGATATTTTCTTTATTATGACGTACCACAAAATCGACATTTTCTATGAAGTTAGCTAATTGAATATATATATATTTTTATATAAAACAAATATAAGTGTTAATAGAAATGTGGTAATATATCGTGTTCTACAAACCAAAAAGTAATAAAGTTTGTTGATAGACCGACATTTTGGTGTTCACCACGTTCTCGTTTAATTTTATGATGTCCTCGAGTACAGCGTCGGCGATGGACTCCTTCAATTGCTGCTCTTGCTGAGGGGAGAACTGTATCTCTGTTCCGGCAAGCGCAAAAATATGCACTAGAAGCGCCAATATACTTTCTGTATCTAGGCCTCGTTTCTCGCGTGTTCTTATTATATTACCGAACTGAAAATATTTATGAAGGAAAAGATACAGTCTTTTAAAATATGGTACGTATAAAAATATTAATAATGCGAAAACTTAAATGCAACAATTACTTGTCCAAGTACGCTCGTAGATTCACGGCTTACAGCTATGTTCTGTAAAACTAGCTTTTCGAGACTGATCAGCAGTTCTAATTGTGAAGTTTTCCCCGACGTTAGGGCTTGTATAATTGCCAGCACTACCTGCGATAGAATAATTTTTATAATACCAGAATATAATTTTCCAAACTATATGTATGATAAAAAAATTATAAAGAGCTTAAAATCGTAAAACTGTTCATACATTATATCATAATTAAGTCTTACTATTCAATTATTGAAATACGTACTTGAAGTTTTTTGCTTGACTCCGATATAGCATGAAGATCGTCTATATCTTTGAATTTATTTACGAGCTTCTCTAAACTGTGCGCGGAAATCCTCGTTGCTAGCTTCGATTTCAGGTTTTCCTTCGGTTTTTGATTCTCTTTCATTGACAGAATATCGATGAGCATTTTGTTTGTAGTGGTCAACACTTCCTTCTGTTTTTTCGTGATTAACACGTTCATTAGGTTTCTGTCGTTACTAGCCAAGCACCCTGGTATCTCGACAAATTGTGAGGCTTCCTTGAAAAATTAAAACTTACTATTTCCATGTAATAATGATATTTTTATTTATAGAATTTATTTGATATATGTATATATATTGCATTTAATCACATTATAAACTATTACCTGTGGACTACAAAATAGGGGAGACATGTTTATCGCAATGTCGTTACAATGATGAGGTAAATGAGGCAAAGTGCACAATATTCTGGCCAATAACGATTCAGTATTATTACTGGTAGGAGTACAAAGATCTAATGTTCTATCGACGAAGATTAACGATATCCCTTTTGTACCAATTAAACTCTGTTGTGTAAAAATATAAATTAGTACCTCCTTTTCTATTGTTCATAGTAGTTATTACATTTTCGTGATAAAAAACTTACATTCCTACGATTAACAGCTGCTGGTAACGTTTCCAACTTTTCAGCAACATATTCACTGAATTTCCCCATGGAATAAATATCTTCTTTTAAATTTAGATATGTGAACAAGCTGTGAAATAAACTTACGAAATGATTGACTGTGCACTTAGAATCTTGCGTTAAAATGTTATTCAAAGGTGGTAGTAAATCACTGAAAGGTGGTGTTACCAATAGATCATTGTCTATTGGACTAATGAAAATTGGCCGAAATAATACTGTTACCGAGCAATCCTAGAAAATCAAATGTATGATATAACAGATAGTCTAATTTAAAAACTAAAAATATATATATGCAATCAATATTGTGAATATATAAAAGGAATATTACCTGTGATTGCTGATTGGAACACATCCAGCTTTTCACATCTCTCTTTAATTTGGCATAATCTATTCTATCCTCTTGTGGTACTGTATCTTCGTAATTCAGTACACTCGAATGTGCAGCAGTGACAATTGTACAGCAATCAAATATATTTTTCTCCATTATCATCTTGACTGTGCGTTGATAAAAAGCTGGACTGCAGGAAGTTGAAATAATCACTGCCTTCTTGCAATTCTTCACTTTGACATACTGTAACAGATTAAAGATGATTATGACAAAAAGTAACACGCATTATCGGCTATACAGGCTGAAAATCAAACTTTTATTAATCACTCACACGAAAATTATACATGGCCAATTCGTAAACTGACACTGCATCAGCATCTTTAAAGAAGGAGTAGGTCTTGCCACCAGTATACCAATGCAAGCATTCTGTTGCTGCATGATCTATGTAGACCGCAGACTCACGTACAAGATGGACAATGTCAAGCCAAGTGTCAGTAAGAAATTGCTCCAAGTCATTAACAGCTTCCATTATTAGTTACTTGCACGCATTACATGAATTTTATAAGATTATCTTAGATTTTTCTCTTGAAACTGAATAATAAAAATTTATAAAGAAGATAAAGTTATGAGTAAATATTATAAGTTATAGTCCTCTCTCTCTTTCTCTCTCTCACTCTCTCTTTCTTAAATAATATAAATATATTAATGATGAAATGTTGATAACAGTGAGATAAAATATTAATACAATAATATTAAATTATGACACTAACACAACTCTTTAATACTTTTATCACAGGATTTAATATTAAACTGTAATTGTCACACAATATTTACATATCCTCCGCGTTGATCATAATTTTACTTTGCCATGTCACCATATGATCAAACAGCTGATTATCACACACATATGTAAAGTGTCAAACTTGAGTAAAATTAACTTTATTTGAGATAGAGAGAGAGAGAGAGAAAGAGAAATTAGTATTATATGGAAAGTAAAAGCTCATTTGATTTGCCGTTGAACTGTATTATTTGAAAATGAAAAGTTTCCCGACTTGCTGTTGAGCACCGCTAAAAATAAAAATTCATCTTCTCTGTCGTTGAGTCATACTACTGAAAACAAAGGTTAGTTGGACATGTGATTGGTTGAGTCGTACTACTGCCTCGACTTATTGCTCATTTCTATTTGCGTCGTTGATATGAAGATGCAACTGTAAGAAATTCCGTACAACGCATATACGACTTGATCATTCTTTTACGATAATATATCTTACCGTCAGGTGTTTGAAGATATCACCGATCGAAAAATACCGTTTGTCGAGATTAAAAACGAGCACACCGAAGAAAACAGAGGTGTCAAGAATCAAGAAGAGGAAATTTTATCCTGACGTATATCTTTAACATTTCTCATTCTAATGGCATTGACAGGACCCGACTTGCCGAAAATACCGCAACCTTTGAAAAATATTCAGCAATATTTAACGGTTGCTGCTAAACATGGTCAGCGAGACAACGTCGTTAGTTATTGGTGTAAGTATATATTTCTGTTGTTTTCTTGGCAATAGAATTATTTCAATATTTTAGAGACAGAACATCCGCATCTTTTAATGGCTTGGAAGTGTAAAAGCATACTAAAGCATCCAACATTATTTATTTATTGTCCTCTAAAAGGCTCAACATTATTTATTTTTCACTTTGGGAAATGTCTTGGGAGTTATTAAAATTTATGTAAAATAGGTCGTCTTTATGCTCTTCAAACTGGGCTAAAATTATCAACAAAGACAGCGGAAGAAACAAGTTTCCTGTTGAAGTTGATGGACTGGTTGGAGGGAACAAAAAAGAAACTACATGACAATGAAGCTATCACTAATGAAGTAGCTGCTCAAGCGCACTTAGAGAACTGGGCCTTAAAGCTTTTCTTATATGCTGATAAAAATGACAGAGCATCCAATTTTACCAAAAATGTAGTACAAAGCTTTTACACTGCTCAGGTGTTATACGATGTGTTAACACTATTTGGAGACCTGAGTGTAGAAGCATCGCAAAATCGAAAGTATGCGCAGTGGAAAGCAGCCTATATTCACAACTGTTTAGCAAATGGAGAAATTCCGGTACCAGGGCCAATGAAAGAGAATGATGAGGAAGATGAACCAGTTGAAGCACCAAATGATGGTAAATTTACTATTTATAAAGCCTATTCATATAAAACTATTTGATCTTAACAGATATTTTATTATTAGATCAAGACGCTGCTTCTGAAACTACTAATGATACCCCACAAAACATTCCATCTATACCTACAAATGTACCAGCTGCAGGAATCCAATCGTTTGATTCTGAAGATAGTACTGTATACAAGACAGAAGGTAAGTCTTGTGCATAATATAATATTATGCACAATATACAATATAAATGTAACATTCTTAAGAGATATTTGTAATAACGGGATGTTATCATCCATTTAATTGGAAACTAAAAAGAATTAAATTTAAAGAGATAATTTGACGAGATTTGATGATAATTTGACATTAAATAATTATATATTATTTCTCGCAACAATATAATCTTGCAGGTGGTGCCAATTTGTCAGTAGAACAAATTGGTAAGGCTCAAAAGTTCATCAAATGGGCAAGTAGTGCACTGGATTACGACGATATACCTACATCCATAATGAATCTTCAGAAAGCCTTACATCTCTTGAGTACGGGTGAAGAGCTAGCGTAGACAAAGAAAATTGATAGATAACACACACGGTAATAGCTTATATACATTTATTCTTGCTAAACTCGTCGCCTATTTCACGTAACTGCCAGTAAGAAGTCATTTTTGATAGACGTTTGTGACTTTTTGCTACTATTGGATACAGTAGAAGTAAGTTTACAATAGCTAGTCAAATCAACCTCAAACACAGTGCACTTAATTAAGACGAAAATTGTTACAAACTATATCTATAGCTTTTAATTGTTGCTGTTAATTAAAAATGCAATAGGCGATATTTTATCGTTTCCTCCTTTATTGAGAGTTTTAATACCGCCGTAACGTTATTTAATATCGACGAGTTCTGTTGTCACAATATGTACATCTAATGTCTCTTGTACATAATATATATTTTTTATATATATTAAATGCTAGAGAAGATGAATACATGATAAGTGCACAATATAAGGGCAAAACGATAACAAAAATATACAAGTGTATCAAACCTCTCAAATTTAATTTTTATTAATCCTAGAATGATCTAATATCTAGATATAACACAAGCGGTCGCGTGGATAACAAGTGTCCACCACTTTAAATTTTCAATGAAAAAGTCGTCTTAGAAAGTAATAGTATTTATTTATATATAAATAATAATCATAAAAAATCTTGGTAAAATTAATTAAAGCAAAGCTGAAAACATTTTTACTTCTTTTTCTCAATTTAAGAACAAAAAAGAAATTAGGCACAAATTACGAGGAGATCAACATTGTTTTGGCAAATAATCTGTTTAAACTACTGAACTATAGCAATACTGGAATGTACACATCTGGACAGCACAAAACCTAAAATTGGGACACAAAACATTTTTAAGACATTTTTAAGGTGTCTTAAAGTTGTCTGTAAGTAAGACGTTTGCGAGCGTTGCCGATCATGTAACGATGCCCGTTAAAAATACATCGTTACAAGTATCGAATATAAATAACGGATCATCACACCGAGAAAGGTTTTATTATTTAAACGATACAGTATATTTCAGACATGTTTTTTATTGCAATTTTATATACAAAAAATGTTTCGACGTAAAGAAGCTTTCAACAAAAGACATGACGTGAATTTTTTTCGGACCAAGGCGAGTTATTGTTTTGTTTTATGTAAATTACGCGTGGAACTTAGCGGAAAAGGAATTTTTGGAATTGCACATTCAAGTGTTCCTAAAGTATATCACGAACATAAACATTCCAAAATTGATTCCAAGAAGTCTTCGAAATCCGCCGAACATTGTTTGGCACGAAGATTTGCAACTGTCACAGGTAATTGGGAGGAAAGTCTATCCGCTGACAGTTCCACTTTATGCTTTATTTATCAAATTGTCCGATCACACTTGTTATCCGCATATGTGGAGCTTTTAAGGAATAAATTAATACTAATGCGCATATATGTCCCGATTACTATGAAACATTTCTCGTATGTTCATACACGCACGCTCGCACGACATGTAAGGACGCATTCATTCAAAGTGGCAGTTAGTACCTCGTGCTTAAGCTAACGTCACCTAAGACCAATCGTACCGATGTCGATTGGTGTGTCACGCCTGGCAAATCAAATTTCCCCTTTCCCTGTTTACGCTGTCTAACTTTTTACATTACATACGTCATAGTTACGTGTATTACAACTGTCTATATTATGACACTAACTCTAGTTTCACTATCATAGTTACTTGTATCATAGCTGTTTATATTACAGCATATTATATTACGTAGCTGCTTGTATATCATGACATGTAAAAGGAATTGGAAACAGGCAGAAAATTATCGACCAGAATCATTTAATCGAGCTAATTTACGCCTAAAACTGATTTTACCGGTAATCCTTAATTGTCCACTAGCGATCTTTCGTTCCTTTTTGCACCGTTGTCTTAACTACAATATAAATAGAGAGAGAAATCATTTTCTTATTTAATCATGACCAGCGTCAATCGACATTGATACGATAGTCTCTAAGTGAATCAATGATGCGGGATGAAATACTATCGTCGATTAGCAAAAACGACGTTTCGCCGATCATCGGTCTGTAATTGCTGTCGGATTTTATAATACAGATTTGTAATTGTTTCTAAATAACATTCATCAAAGGGAATTCATGATCCGTTGCATATTACTTGAGTGAATAACCTGCGACGACAATAAAAAAGGGCACGATAAGGTTCCTAAAAGTTGCTTCCATTAATGACGGGTTTCATCGCGTCCAAGAACTTAATGATGCTTTTTCATACTGCAATACAGTGTGCAAAGTGAACATAGAGTGCAACGAAAATTCATTCCGCTATTCGCGTTATAAATAATCACCTTAAATTCGTTCTCCATCTCACGCCTCTACCCTTGGAGGGACGTACACTTTATACAAACTTAACCCACGTGATTCCGAATTTACCGTTTTCTCTCTACTTTAGATTTCACATAGTTTTCCGATGAATATATCGAGCGTATCCATCAAATGATCGTACAACAATATTTCGACATGGAAGTCCCATCTCTGGAACAATGGAAGCAAGAGAAAGAGAGAGAGAGTACGTTGGAAATAAATATGGTAACATGGTCAGTGGTCCAGTGTTCCAGAAATGAAACAGTGGAATCAAGTGGGTCAACGTGAAAACGGACGAACACGCATTCTCTAGCCATAAACCTGCTCAGTCTTGCTTCTTAGCTTTGTCGTCGACGCCGTTCGCCGTCACCGATTGCGCTTCTTCTCGTCTCAGTTGCCAGTCAATCACCAGTCGCCCCGTCAGCAAAAAGAAGAACACCTGTAATCATACACCAGGTTACAACCCGCGGAATTCGATTGACCGATTGGTTTTTCTTTTTTATAAGGTGAAATGACTGCATTAGTTCAAGAAATGTATGCACATCGGAACGTGAGAATCTCGTACGTATGCTGCATATGCTTCGATGTGTATATAAATTTCTTGAATTAGGGCAGCCAGTTTAGCTGAAAAAACAGACCAACTGTGGACGACCACTCACCAATGCCGGGGCGATCCTTTCGAACTTGTCGTTGACCATGTAGTGAGAATACACGGCCATCAGCATCAACAGTAGGAGCACTGTGTTCGATACGTTTTTAACTTTATCTGAAAGCAATTTACAAAATTACCTTAATAAGTCGTAACTCCGTTTGATAAATAAGGTGATATTTTGTGTTAACAATGATAGAGGTATAGCCGTAGGAATTTGCAAAAAAAAAAGAAGTAATAAGAAATTAATATTAAGAACTTTTGGAAAGAATTTACGAATTGAACACTCTGTCTAAGCTAAAAATGAAGGATTTGCGATAATAAAGACATCTATGAACCGATGATACGATACTTTTGATACGATGGTATGGCACTAAAGTTCCGTGAAACGGATAATTTCCCAGGACAAGTGTTCATCAACGATGAAGAAACGAAGAGAGGATATCGTGATCGAAGAAGGTGTTTAATTTTTTGCACCTACGACTTGGAATAATCGCCATGGCGAAGCCGCAGATAATCTCAAGCGAACCGACGACTCTTCGATACCACTTGCTGGGTACCTTGAAGTCGAACGTGCCGGAAAGCGGGAACACTTTTGCGTATTTGACATACTCCTTCCTCTGAAAAAAAGAGTATTAAGACCCGGTAATTTTCTTCGGCGAACATTAAATATTGAAAAGAGGAAATAAGATAATAAATTTTGTCTGGAGTGGATTCAGTGGCCGGTTCAGAAAAAGAGATTTACAAGTTGTACTTCAAGAAAGCAATAATTATATTCTTTGAATTTTATTTTGAGACTTAACGATATATTATCAAGTGTTAAAAATTGAAACGTTTAAAAAATATAACGTTCAATTAAATAATTTCTGTAAATGATACAACGCGCTCTACTGTTCGTTCTAATCCGTTCTTATAACCGAATATTCTGTGTATATACAGTATTTACATAGTAGCAATAATCGCGAGCCCGTTTTGGCAGGCTCGAACAATTCGACTAGGACCCAAAGAAAACGCGACTCGGTCTGATATGTGAAGTATAAATATCTCATTCGCCAGCAACTCCACTGGCGGTTGACCAAGCAATCCGTGCGCGAATGTTTACTTTAATATCACTTTCGTTGGGCAACGCCGAAGTCACCAAAATAGCCGGATGACACAGCATAGAATTCGCATTTTACATTAAGATTTTACAATGTGTCTATACGTTGTAACAACATATCGCTACAACACGAAACGTGCTAATCTGCTTTGCAATAGGAAAAAATATGTTTTTTTTTACATTATTTTGCAAGAGAAAAATTGGAAAACATGTGCGTTAATTTTACAAATTCCACCAAAATGTATTAATATTCAGATATGTATCTCATAAAGCAAGTATATTCCTACATGAACGATTAAACATTACATCTTTAATAGAGAGGGAAAGCGTCGTGTTGTCTTAATACACTTGTAGCATCCGTTATTGAGCGCGTTATTGCTGAGTATATTTTTACACTGTCTATAACAAGCTAGAAGACCCGGTATGCGTCGCATCTTACGATCGGCCGGATTTCAGAAATTATACTTCTTTTCCGCTGACGGCCTTGGCCTCGTTAAGATTCGTTACGATACGTATATCTTGTGATGCCACAAACAGATATTTAGTGGAGTGCTTTAATTCGTCCTACTGCTGCAAACGTGACGTCCGAATCGAAATTAACTTCTTATGTACCAAAACTAATAAAAAAGACCCCTCTGGGTTCCGGTTTTTCGTCCAAAAAAATGAACAAATAGATGCTTGAATCGATTTCTTTTATTGTAGCAAAAACCCGGCAAATCGGGTGGAACGTTATTATTTTCCTCATGCACTTATAAAGAATTAAGCTGATCCCACAACAAATCCTAAGGGACTTAATTGTTAAATTCTAAGATATAAAAGAGCAGATAAAAATTATGGAAACGTCGTCTCTCGACTTCCGGACATTTATTGGAAATAATTCTATCTTTAGAAAACTCATCGGAGGGAAAACTTGTATATTTTCTCGTGGATGTAAAAAGTAGCGTAGTTGCTCGCGCTTGAAACTTCAAACAAACGTTCGCCGGATTCAATCTTCCGGATGTTAACGACGCGGAAATGGCCGTGGGAACAACAACACCGGGTGTTTTAGCTGGCGAGGGGGAGCGTCGGTGCGCTATATAAGCGCGCGCGCGCGCGTGCGACTATAACAACGGATCAAGGGTAGCGGTAACTCGGGCACGTAATATTACATAATAAAGCCGGGCTCTGACAGATGCACACAACAGTGGCTCGCACTCTTGGCGTGTCCACTTTGGTACCGACGACGACGTCTGGTGTCTTGTAGAATTACATAAGCAACGGAGATGAGGAAAGTATGGACGACAAATAGCGTCCAATCTGTCAGTCTCGCGTGTCATTAGACAATTTCTAAATTGTTTGTTACTGCGTAAACGATGTCTAATTAATTATGTATCGACTAGTTAAATAATCATCTAACAATTAATCAAGAGAGATTAATCAGGACGAATTATCCGTGGAAGGGTTGATTGGCCGCCATTTAGTCGTCGATCGTGATCTGACAGTTGCGACTGTTAAATTAAAGAAGTCTCTCCGATCGATTAACCGTTAATTACAGGATTAATCGCGCTTGCTAATGCGATATCGACTTTAAACGATTCGAACGGAGCACCGTTCGTCGGCTTTTACGCACATCGTCATGTCGAAACTAGCTGGCAGTTTTCGCCGAAAATCCCAACTTGAAGTCAACACCGTCGAGTTGAGCAGTTAACTGTCAATTGTTAAACCGCCGATGTCAGCCGCCATTTATCGTGCATGTACACAACAACGGTGTTTCGTCTCGGAGCGCGCGAGCGCAGGGAGGAAGGAAGCAAGGAACCCCCTGTCGCGGACGGGCGACTTACCAGGTCCTTGTGCAGGTCCTTGCTGATGTGCGACGTGAGCTTCATCGTGCCGACGAAGACGAAGAATATTCCGAGCAGCACCGAGAGCGACTTGAGCACTATAGAACCCATCTTGTCGGCCTGGTCGGGGTGAATCGGGCCGATCGATTACCGGAAGCGAACGGCGCGGCCGTGCGGGCCGCGATTCAGAGAGCACCGCGCGTCCTCGCAGGATCGCACCTGGCCTCCTCCTCCTCCTCAACGTCGTCGAGATAGGACCGTCGCGGACGAGAACAGTGTCTAGGAGCACATGCTCGCGAACGTCGCGAGCGAAGCCTCGTTTCCGGAAACGGCTGTTTAGTATGTGATCCCGGTGGCGACGACGACGACGACGACGGCGGCGACGTCCATGGCGCGTCGTCCCGACGTCCTCTGTGGCTGACGTCGCGAAGCGCGGCACGCGAACGGCCTCCGGTGACGTCAGCGGCCGACGCGTGGACGCGCGCGTACCAGCGCGCCGGCTATTTTCCGCGATCGATACGCGGACGCGCTCGCTCGTTCCTCGTTTCATCCCGGATTTTCACCTCGGATCGATGCAGGACGGATTTGGCAATATGAAATGCCGCTCTTTTCGTTCTCCTTCGAAAGCCCCTCTTTCTCTTTCACTCCCCTTTTTTTCGTCTTTCTTTCCTCTGTGATATATTTGAAAACCGCGGAGTGTTTAAAAATAGATCTGCTTTCGTCCTTCTTTAAGGGGATAGGCAGTAGTGCTGACAATCGGGGCTACTCTGGTACCCGAGTTTTTCAGTAAATGAGTATACGTTTTCAGACGTTATAAATTATTTATTTTTTCAACGGTAACAGATAATGATAACGTCTGAAATTAGTTGTATAGTCAGTTCCGAAAGATCGGGTACCCGGGTAGTCGAAATTGACAGCACTAGGCGGGTAGGCAGGATGGAGGATGCTGCAGTCTTTCGATTACGAGGATCTCGTTATGTGAACAGATGGATACTTTAAAATGAAGAATAAGATATTTCGTATTGGAAGAACAAAAAATCAAACAAGATCCAAAATATGCTTTTGGCTATCGCGATGTTGCTTTTTAAATGCCGATTGTTTCATCACCAGATGAATTATGTGGTAATTAGCATAGACCCGACTCATAAAAATAGTGATTTTTTGAAGTTTGTTATCAATGGATAATCTATATATCTTTCTAATAATAAAATAAAAAGAACAAATTTTTAATTAACTAAAACAATATTTTATTGTTTTGTTAGTTGTGCCATTTTTTTGTCATTTTTTAAAGAGCTGTGCCATTTTTTTGTCATTTTTTTAAGCTTGTCAATGAATACCCTTAAAAAAAAGAAAATGGATTATACTTGACTTCTTGAACGATTGTGAAGAACTTCAGTGCTATTTATATACTTTTTAAATCATGTATCAAATTTTCTCATCTTCATTTTTCTCGAAACGTATTCCACATGTGGGTTGGACCCTTCTTGCATAACTGTAGCTCATTTATCTAATAGATAAAAATATCTGGAGAGCTTTCCCATACGGAAATAACTACACAAGAATATGAAAAAATGATATACCACTGTTCTTCAATACATCAGCTCTTCAGATAATTTTTATTCATTACATAAATTACCACATAGTTTATGCGAAGGTGGAACAATCAGTCCTAAGTAAAATCTTTCGCTTTTACCTCTCCGCTCCTATCTTGCCGAACTGCATCGATCTACCGCGAGGATATCAAGACTTAAGGGACTTTTTACCTTTTTATCGAAAACATCTCAGTCTCGCGAAAAATGCGTTGAAATTTTAGGTACGGAAATTTTAGGATTTCCGAGCAATCATTATTTTTTTCAATTCCTCTGCACTTACATAATAAATGTGATAAATTGCAAATCGATAGGTTTCGGAGTTTTTCAGAAAAAAAAAATTCCTGAATACAGCTCTTTTTCGAAGGTAGAAGGCCCCTTAAGGTGTAGAGACTCTCGCGAAAAATACCACATCGCTTCGTACGATCGCCTACTATAAATTATTTCAAGACTCCTCGTTTATACATGTCGGTAGTTTATACACAGTCGCGGTTTATACATGTTCGTAGTTTATACAGTCGCGTTTTATACATGTCCGTAGTGTACATATTCGTACACGTATCTGCATTATTAACATTATGTACAAAGATATGTTATATAGCTATACCTCGGATAACTATTTACAGGGCGGCTTTACGGTGCGCACGAGTTTACACGCCCGCGGCTTCGACACAGAATCACTCTTGTCATCCACAGGATTGTCAACAAGAGATGGTCTTGTCGAATCCGTATTTACCAGAACAGTCATAGACGCGTTGTTATCGCTCAATGTGACGGCCTTTCGGCGGCGCGAGATCACTACCGCTTTACTATTCCGGTCCTTCTTGTTCTTCATCGCGGACAACGTTATCTTCTTCACATCAACTGACTGGTTGTTGACCGTTTCTTCTGTTTCAGATTCCTTTGGCATCGTAGTGCTCGACAGGGGTTCCCGACATTCTAAAGCGCTAGCTGTAGTATCGGGAACGAAGGCATCAGAAACAGAAACATTGGGAACGAATGCATCGGAAACAGAGGCATCGGGAACAGAAGTATCAAGAACTGAAGCATCAATAACGGCGTCTCGAACGTAATTATGGTCATCGAGGCATGCACGGCTTACTTCGTCGTTGCTTTTGTCAGGTACTTGATGAGAAGTCTCGTTTCCACCAGGTACTACTTCACCTTTATCGACGTTATCGCAGTTAGTCTCGACTTGCGTGGTATCCTTAGAACTTTGCACGTCTTCACGGTCAGTTTGGCAAACATCATTGTTGGTTCCAGGATTGTCCACCTTGTCAACTTCAACAACAGTGCCTTCGGCGTTAGAGTCGCCCATCTCTTCGCTTCTAACAGCACTTTCGTTACTGAAATCATACATCTCCTCAAGTCTGGCCTGAAAGCCATCGTTGCTGTAATCGCGTAAATTTTCGTCGATGCAGTTTTTACAGTCGTCTACGTCGTTGTTATTGCTGTACACCTCCTCGATTGCCAGAGCGTCTAAAATAATATAATCCGTTGCATTTCCACCGGAGTTTTGATTACTCATATCGGAGTCGTTGCGACCGTCAGTCGTCGCAGCGCGTTCGCCAGCTGGATTTAACCACGTCGTCTCCACGTGAACAGTATCTTCCGCATCCCCTTGCGAAACAGGCACCGCTGCTTCAGTCTGTCTCGCGTCAGTCTCCGTCATTTCTCCCAATTTCTTCGTTATAACGGTACTATTTTCAAGAATTTGACCCGAACCCCCGGATTTAACATAAGTTGTTTGGATATCCACAGGCGCATCCTCGTTTGCACCTTCGGTTTGAAGATCTGCAACATTTTCCTCTATTACTCGAGCCGTGGAAATCTTGGCAGAATCACACTTCTTCTCGGGACTAGGATGGGGACTTTCTAAAATCTCGCCCTCTTCCAAATTACTCCTGTCCCTCGTGTTATCCTTACTCTCGTCCGTAGCACATGTGCTTTCTGCGAAACTCGCAGATGCACGTGGTTCATTCTTCGCGCTATGCTGTTCTGCGCTCCCGACGTCGTGGTCCACCGTAGTATTTACAACCGTTCGATTAGAAGACGTCCGGGGATCGATTTCTATCGCAGCTTTACTACCTCTGTGCGATCTCTTATCCTCCGAATCGTTCGCTGCAGTCTCCTTTAGTCTACGATCATCGTACTTGTTACTTTTGTACGAACTACTTTTGTTTTCTCTGTCCTCGACGTCGCTCGTAGTATGTCTTAATTTATCTCGCAAGTTGCCGCGGTCTCTACTACTGTATCTTGTCCTAACATCACCAGTTTCCTTGCTGTCGTAGCCTCTCCTCGACCTGTCGCTCTTATGTCGGCTATCATATTTGTAGTCGTCGTACTTCCTATCTCTGTACGTTCTGCTCGATTTCTCCCGTAAGCGACGACTACTCGAGCTCTCGTAATCACTCTTGCTCTTGGAGTAACTCCTAGAACTCGACGAACCATGTCTGTAATCGTTTTTTCTGTATCCGTTGATATAATTATCATGTTGGTTGTCGCTATTGAGCCTTTCATTCGAAGCAGTTCGATGGTTTCTCGAGTTATCGACAGATCCTTTACTAGCACGGGCGTCATCGTAATCCTTTGTTGAACTAGTTCTCTCCTCCCTTCTCCATTCGTTTCTACAACTCCGCGCCTGTCTCGTGTCTCTGTATTCCGAAGAGGCCCTATGTTTCGTCTCAAGCGGAACTTGATCTTTTTTATAAGAATACATAACACATAGTTGATCCTCCAATTTCGTAAGATCGTCCTTCATGTCGCATTGTGCAGTACGATTGTAATCGGTATCGTAATCTTTCCTATCCTCGTTATCCTCAGTCTTTAGACGTTTGTTCTTACAAGTATCATTCTCCTCATTCAGCCTTTTCCCTGAATCCTTTTTATATGAAGTCCCTATGATGTAATGTGATTATATCTTTAATTATTATATAACACAGCAGAAATGGAAATTAGATGCACATTTCAGACAAATTCCTGAGATGAAACCTATTGTAATGTATTCTAAGTATATCTATTTTATAATAATATAATGTAATAATATAGCAATGACAATTATTAGAATTTTGAGTTAAAATTTTAATAATTATATTCTTGATTATTGTTATTATTATAAAACACACAGACACACACATATATCAAGGACGAATATATATCATAAGGACCTGAGGCAGAACGTCTTATGTGCGATAATGGAAGATCACCTCAGAAATTTTCCCAAAATGTGCACCTAATTCCAAACACTGTATTACAGCATAAGAGAAATTTATTATACTTTATCTAACTATATTTAATCATGCAACCAATTCCAAAATTTGTATATTTTTTTTTAAAGTAAAAATATTGTAAGTCAAATCCTATAATATAATATAATTAAATATACACATATATATTATATTTGACTATGTTACCTGAATTAGAATTTCGAGCAATAGCATTAGATTCGTTAGCGTTGTTATTTATACTGGATTCAGATCCATTCTCTTTGTCACTTTCTACAATGCATTCTTCAGGGATTTTATTTACGTTGGTCTCTGAGCTAAGCTTTGATAATGCTCTTAGCCTCTTCTCTTCTCTCTTATCATCCATGATTCTTTTGTGTAATCTTTCTCCAAATACTGTAACTGGTATTTGATCAGTATTATTTTGTGGCTTTCTACTTTTATATTCAGTATAATGTGATTCAATTTGCTGTGACATAAATGTGTTCTCTTCCGAATTCATCACAGAAGTTTCATACATTTCGGTTATTGCATTGTGTTGATATGATCTGAAGGTTGAAAAATGTAAAGATCTATTGTTTCTTCTGAAGGCTGCATTATCTAACCTGTAATTATTTTTCTGACATTAAAAAAGAAGACTACAGAAAAAATTATATTAATTTGTACAAAGTTCATACTGATTTCTAAGTTCCTCTATTGTCTTGTCTTTCCGTGCAATTTCCACTTTTGCAGTTTTCAATAAGGAAGCTAGATTTGTCTCCAAGTTTTGATTGATCTTTTTCATATTTTCAAATTCACTGGTAAGTGAATTAAATTTTTTCTTTAATTCCTCACAGTTACAAGCATTATCAGTCTTTGATTGGTCCTTTTCATGTTATAAAAATAAACATATTTGATTATGTGTACATTGAATAACATATTAAATTATTTATTTGACTTAAGACTCAAATAATATCAATCTTTATTACATAATAAATTGATCCATACGAATGTCAAATACAGATGTTGATGTTGTAGAGAGATATTTGTAATCGATTTCGTAATTAGTTCATAATTACTAAAACTAATAATTATATAAGCTTCTTAATGGAGAGATAAAAACAAGAATATATGATTTTCTTTGTCATATTTTTCCTAGTTTTGCCTAGTTTAAAACTAATTTCATTTATAATAATAACTAAAAGTAAATTACTTTCACACCACTCTATATTTTTTACGCAGTCAAAACTTGATTTATGTTTGTATATTGTAACGCTAATCACAACATTACCGTAAGTGAACCTCACATTTATGTTAGATTTCGTCAAATCGAAATCTGGTAAATCCATGTAAATATCGATATTTTCCTCCATTTCCCACGTTTAACAGTTCGTCACATCGATCTGATCATTGCGATACTTTCACGTATTACAACGAAGATAATTATTACGTCTGTCACGTTGGCGGTCAACGACATATGTGCCATAAACTCGGTACTAAGAGACAGGCTCGGTTTTCGCGCTGATAGAATCACTGCTAAATTGTAGTTAGTGAGCAAAGGTAAAGTCCACGATACACGGTGCTTGTTTGGTGCCGGATCGCATGCGATCTAATGGCGTTTTCGATTTGCTGACTACCCGACTCGGAGTCATCGTACTGTGTTCTGATTGGTGCATTTTTAGAAAATGCCGTAAACTGTGTTCAGAGAGCGCTATTGCATTATTCTATCTTTGGCTGTGTTCCGATATCCACTCTCATTTTTGAAAGTCTATAGTTTATGTTATGTATATTATACATTTTCAATATTGACAGTAAATATCGAAATATATCACACATTAAAGATCCATTTAAAGAGTATCTACAAAGAGAATTTAAGGCGTGAGCCTTAAAAAATTGACCAATCGCATTGATCAGTTCAGCTAATTCGCCAATGCGATTGGTCAATTTCTTTGAACTAATCGTCAATTAGACTTTAACCATGATGATAGAAACAGTCATAAGCTATTTTTTCCGCTGGACGCAAACAATGACGAGTCTTGGTGACCCATAGAGATATAAGAATAGAGGGAACAAGGGATATATGCTACCTGTAAGTGGAAGTGATAGAGGCAAAGAGAGAGATGGATGCCGAGTGTCCTATCTGTCTCTTTCTAGTCACGCGCTGGGATTGGCTGCCGCGCCAACGACGATATAGCTATACATTTTTCTCCATCCAATTCAAAGAAACTGTCATTGCTAAAATGATCACTGCAAATATATGCTGTTTTCACTTCAAAATACAAAGGTAGTTGAAGTATATTCAACCATTTACGCCTTATATCTACATCCTTCGGTAGCCTACACATTTACATATTTTTTTAAATGTAGGAAAAAATAACATATAATTATTTGAGGTTACGTATTTGTACTTTCTTACGAGTGAAAACTGCGGTTACATCCAGGATAAGACTCCGCCTTGCATTTCAAACAATGCCTCATTTTTAAACAAATCGCGTCCAATTATTATTTTGTTAACGTTCGAATATTTAACGAATTTTAATTCTACACACATGTGCACGCATATTTACAAAACGAAATTTTAGTCTGCTTTCTCCCCTCCTGACGTCGCGTGGTCGTCTTGGCGGCTCATTGTAACAACCAATCACAGCGCTCAACTAGAAAGAGACAGATAGGACACTCGGCATCCATCTCTCTCTTTGCCTCTATCACTTCCACTTACAGGCTTGTTCCCTCTATTCTTATATCTCTATGTGGTGACCTCACTTGGTGTGTAGAAAGTGTAACACGGTACAGCCGAGGAAGAAGAGATCTGAAAATGGCGAAAGAAAATCGGAGTCTCACTCCACAGGGACTCTACCGCGCGGCGCATGCGCAGCGCTCGTGACGGCCGTCGGGAGAAGTCGGTAGCTGCCATTCGCGACGGAACAGCAGCGGCATTCACTGGTATCGCGTGCGTCCGTCGTGCCCACGCTTGTGCGTGCTATCATCACGTTTCCCCGCTGACGTAGCGCGCGCGAACACACGTATCGACGACGCGGTGGTGTCGCGTCGCGTGCGCGCGTACGGATCAACGGACGAAAGAAGGAACGAACGGGCGACGGGGTGACGTTTAGTGACAGTCGCGGGCAACAACATTCGGCGCAAACGTCACTCCGTTGGCGCGACGTGTTGCACCGCGGAGACGCGACTCTTTTGACCGCGCGTTTCACCTCTCGCGCATCTCGATCGCGCGTGTTTACGGTTTCCCAGTGCGTCCGGCTGCGCGTCCACTGATTGCCGAACGTGTCTCGATATGCGCGCTGAGCGAGCCCTCGATGCGGCAGTTGGGCGATCGGCGGCAACTCTGCTAGTGCACGGAGAAGGAGAAGAAGCAACGGCGATGCCGCGCGGCGACACGTTTCGCGCGTATTGGTGAGGTGATGCGAAGTGGTGGTGCCGCCGTCGGTGTGTACACAGTGTGGTGGCGTGGTGGTAGTAGCAGCAGCAGCGGTGGAATTTTCAAGGAGAAACCTTGGGGAAACCGCATCCCATCCGCCGGACTTGCAGGTAAATATGCGTCACGCATACACCGTGGTAGTACGCACGCACGACGGAGGGCCGCGAGACTTGCGCTTTGTCCGCGACACGTCCAACGACGACGCATCGGCGGACCTGTTGATATCGCACGCGCTTATCGGCGACACACAGCGCGAGCCTGCCCGATGCATCGTATCGCGATCATCATCGTCCCGCTCGCGTTACCTGCCCATCCCGTTCCTCCTCGTGGATTGCATCACCACGGGTTCAACGTGACTCGCGGCTTGCTTTGACTTTGCGATATGTAACCTTTTGTTTTTCTCCGATTCGCCCGTGTGTGTGTTTAGGTTTGTTTTTTATCCGCTGAACTGGCTGCGCTAATTTGTACCGGTTCTCTCCTTTTCTTTATTTCACCGACAGTCTTGACCGTATATATATCTTTCTCTCTTTCTCTTTTTTGAGTTCTACAAATGTCTATGAGTGAACACTAATTCAGGGAAATAGAACAGAGTTTTTCTCCCCTCGATCTGCATAACTGGCGCAATCGTTTCGCGTGTCGTTGCGCGCGTGACACCGCGTCGTTAAACGACATACGTCGAAGCGATTAATAATATGCTCGCAGAAAAATACGTGTCTGTACGCACACACGTGTCGGTGCCGATTGAAATCAATTACGTGTGTTTGGCATTTCCGCGCTAATGATATAATTAATAGGACGATAAAGCGAATTTAAAGCGAGGGAGAGATAGAGAAATAGAGACTACCGAGAGATAAAAATTATCTAACAGCAAACAGTTTCTCAATTACTACGACGCGATAATTCGAGATACGGGGCTGTGATCGGTCGTGAATAAGCGCTCGAAAATCTAATTTCCAGCAGCTTCGGCACGCAGACAGTCGGGCGGAAGTTCACGAGAAGACGCGAGCGATCGATCAAACACGGACGTAAATATAACGCCGCCGCCGTAAACACAAAGATCGCCGACAGATCGTGTAACGCGGCCGCGGATTGCAACGTCGATGCGCTTCTACGCGCGATTGTACGTCGACCCATCCCGCGCGACGTTTGTCGTTCTCTCCGCGCAAAAGTCGCGCGTAATTAGCACGCACTTTTAACGCTCGCTCCCATGCGTATGCAGCGGCCAACTAGTTCGCGAGGTTTTTTTTTTTTTTTTTAAACGTCCCTCACGTAACGCCGCCGATCATTAACGCCTTTCACTCGCGGTTATTTCTTATCCGGGAGCCTTCGGCACACTGTGTGTTTGTGTATGTATATATCGCTATATATCGGTATCGCCGGATCGGTTACGCTGGATTTCCGACGAACTTCATCGGACAGCTCCGGCAGCCGCGTGATTTCCTCGAACAATAACGGGGTAAATCGAAGGCAGAGTTACAACTCTGACGAGCGATAACCCCGTTGCGACATCTCCGTTGTAGCGACGAACGATTATTCTATCGATCATCGCGTTTCACAGAGGAAATCAGTGATTCACGATGACCCGGGGCCACCCTGGGCGCGATACTCTGAGTCAGCGTAGCCGAGGAGATCTCGCACGGCGATTTGCCGGCCGAGTAAATCGCTAACGAGAGCGCACTCAAATCGTAAATTCCTTCGTGCTCGGCTCACCTTCGCGGCCAGTGAGAGCCACTGCGCGCTTTTCGCGCCACATTATTCTCCCGATCCCTCGGAGATACATATATCGGCTGTTTTGTCCGAAGAGTCGCGTCTCCGAGGTGTCTCCGTGGTGTGTCCACCACGTCTGATGCTCCGGTGTGACGCGCGTGTCGCCGATTTAAGCACTTGCAGGTATTCGACGCAGTGACGATGCAACGACACGCTCGCGACCTTCGTGCTCCTTCGTGGCTTCTTTCGCAGTGCCGTAGAAGGAGAGATCTACGACGCCAGAATCGGCGTTTAAGTCTGCACGGGGATATCGAAAAAAGCGCGGCCTTACAAAAGCGTACATGATCTGTGAAGATTGCACCGCCTTTTTTTTTCCGAGTTTCGTAACGCATCTCGTGTCTGAGGAAAATCGTATCTCCCGTGAGAATTACCAAGAAACGGATTCTCCTGTTGTATACACGGGATGTGTTCCGAATTTGTCCAGGAAAATCTTACAAAAAAAGGCTTACCCTTTTATGACTGACCGACAAGACATTCGTGTAACTAAATTTCTCTTGCCTTCCGTTGCCAGACGAAAGCTATCGGTTATATATGAATAGAAAAATTCCTGTATATTTATGCTCGGTTCATTGTTATCTCAACCGGATAACGAATGGTGACGAATATCTTTTTTTTTGTTGAGATAATAGTAATATCGTTTTTTTGTCACCGACTTTTCGTCCGATTACCATTCCGTTACACGGACCGACATTTTTTTTCTGTGCGGAATTAGCGGAAAGGATGAACATTAAATAATTATAATCCCTTTCCCTTTCCTCTTCGCTCTCATTCTTACGAAACATCGATATAATTCTTCTTAATTTTTTACGCTGTAATATTTTGACGAACTTGTATATATTCGAATATCATGATATGATCGATATCGCGCCGCTGTTACCACTGAAACAGCGGTAATCTATAGAAAGTATGAATGAGTAGAAAGTTCTCCACCGGCGTTACCGTTAAATCTGATGCCGCGTACGCGAAAGCGCGACGATGAATTAAAATATCGGACTGCGCTGTTCGTGTGTCTTTTTGGTGAAGAAGTCGATAAAATCTGTACGTGATGCTTTGCCGACCGTCGCCGGGGAACATTTAAACGGCGTCGATTTCCCGTTTATCGAAAGTATAACGGAAGACCGTCATCTGGGTCCAACGTTTCTGACTGTCGTGACAACCAAGTTTGGGGGCCATTCAATGTTCTCTTCTCTAAACTTACTTGAAATTGCTAGCTATATTTTTGCCGCTCGCATCCTCAAATCTCAAATTACCGCAAGACCCGTCAATTTCCAACGTTAAATCGAGCGACGACGATATAATTCCG